AAGGTTAAAAGTTTTGAATAATTTCTGTAAAAATGCAATTAATTTTTAATTGTAGTTGAGACAGATAGTGAGTACTAAAAATAATATGTGTAAGAAAAACAGTATTACCATTTTAATTATATTTTAAAAGTTGCTTATAACATTGAGAATTTGAAAATAAATACATAAGTTCTCAAGTTTATTTTAAAAGCAAAATATTTACTTTTAAAAAAGTGCATAAAATTACTTTATATTATTAAAAATATAAAGATTTTTAAAAGAAAATTCAGAAAGGCGAACAACAAAATGTTGAGGGTAAAGCAGTTAGTTAGTTAGTAAGTTAGTTAGTTAGTTAGTTAATTAGTTAGTTAGTTAGTTAGTTAGTTAGTTAGTTGTTAGTTAGTTTAGTTAGTTGTTAGTTAGTTAGTTAGTTAGTTAGTTAGTTAGTTAGTTAGTTAGTTAGTTAGTTAGTTATTTAGTTAGTTAGTTAGTTAGTTAGTTAGTTAGTGTTTAGTTCGTTAGTTAGTTAGTTCGTTTTGTTTAGTTAGTTCGTTCGTTCGTTAGTGTTTTTTTAGTTAGTTAGTTCGTTAGTTAGTTAGTTCGTTTCGTTATTCGTTCGTTAGTTAGTTCGTTCGTTCGTTAGTTCGTTAGTTTAGTTCTTTAGTTAGTTTTTAGTTCGTTCGTTCGTTCGTTTTCTTAGTTCGTTCGTTCGTTCTTCGTTCGTTCGTTCGTTCGTTCGTTTCGTTCGTTCGTTTCGTTCGTTCGTTCGTTCGTTCGTTCTTCGTTCGTTCGTTCGTTCGTTAGTTCGTTCGTTCGTTCGTTCGTTCGTTCGTTCGTTCGTTCTTCGTTGTTCGTTCGTTCGTTCGTTCGTTCGTTCGTTCGTTCGTTCGTTCGTTCGTTCGTTCGTTCGTTCGTTCGTTCGTTTCGTTCGTTTCGTTCGTTCGTTTCGTTCGTTCGTTCGTTCGTTCGTTCGTTCGTTCGTTCGTTCGTTCGTTCGTTCGTTTCGGTTCGTTAGTCGTTAGTTAGTTAGTTCGTTAGTTAGTTCGTTCAGTTCGTTAGTTAGTTAGTTAGTTAGTTAGTTAGTTAGTTAGTTTGAAAGGAGGAGGAGGCGAACAACAAATGATGAAGGGTTAAGCATGTAAGAATTGGGGTTGTCACACATTCAGGCCATTATTCCTTTGACTATCATAGATAGATAGTTTGTTAGTTAGAAAGGAGGATGTATATACATCAAATCCGAAGAAATACACCCAGGACTCTATTGGGCCTGTTGTGCGCTCCTTAACCAGTGCCTCAGGTGGGAATCGAACCCACCACCTCCGGTCTACCCGACTAGAACACTAACCACCAACCTAACGGAGGCGACTAAATATATATATAGAGATAGATTCAATTGATTTTTTTTAAATCCTCCGAAATTAAAAAAAAAAGTTTTTTATACTTAATGACAATTATGTAATTTCATAGCTATATTTTTAACATTAGTACTCCAAGTTGAGTACCAACCACTTATCTACTTTTTAAAAAAGTACTACACCTAACGCTTACATTAATATGAAAATACAAAATCAAAATAATGTTATCAGTTCCAAAAATTTACTATAAATTGTAAGCGAATTTAGACCTTAATCATCACAGTTTACTTTACGTTAACTTTGTACAATAAAAATGAAATTCCTTATCGTTGTTTTGGTCGCTCTAGCTTTGGCTGCTCCCGCCTTGGCTACCACCTACAACCGTTGTTCTTTGGCTAAAGCCATGTACAATTTGGGTGTTCCTAAGGATCAATTGGCTCGTTGGACTTGCATAGCTGAGCATGAATCTTCCTATCGCACTGGTGTTGTGGGACCTACCAACTCTAATGGTTCCAATGATTATGGTATTTTCCAAATCAACAACTACTACTGGTGTCAACCTTCCAACGGACGTTTCTCCTACAACGAATGTAAAGTAAGCTGTGATGCTTTGTTGTCGGATAACATTAGTGCTTCGGTGACCTGTGCCCGCAAGATTTTGAGCCAACAAGGTTGGACTGCCTGGTCCACCTGGAAATATTGCAACGGTAATTTGGCCAGCATTGATAGCTGTTTCTAAATTGTTATGATTTTGAGAATTTTGATTAATAAAGTTTGTGAAAAATACTGATGGGATTTTTATATAATAACTATTTTCGATTGAAGTGAGGAAGACTAGTACTCACTTACTTTCGCAATTACATTTTGGGGATATAAATCGTGACTTGTTGAAAGTTTTCACATAGCACTTTATACTTGTTGGCCTATATATGTATAGTGTTGTCTTTATACCTACAGATGCTTAAGTATTTTATACTATTCCGCAGGTCTAGAGAGACCGATTAGACTTGCACACTTCTAAACAAAAAACTGAAAATGGATATTAATGTTTTTCTTAAACTAACTATACCTCTAGAGCTCATCTCGTAATAGCTGTTCCAGAGGCGTCACGAGTAAAAAACTATTTCCCTCTCTTTCGCACAAAACGAATTCAATAATTTTTTTTAGCTGTATTTTATATACCTCTTCTCACCAAACAATTTCAAAATCAAACAAAAGCTGATTTTAGACTTTTTTAAATGTCAAAAGTGACACCTCTGTATACTTTGTGGCTGTTCTCTTCGAACTGGCTTTGTTCTCAAGTTGGTATAAAGACAAACCCCTTTCACTGTGTGAATAGAGGGCAAATTTCAACGATATTTTATATTTAGACACAAAAAATCCTTCGGATTCAACAAATTGATAGAATATTATTTGTGTTTACGACTTTTGATCAAACATTGAACTCAAAATTTCTATGTAGTATATTAATCAAATTGTCAGTATACAAAGAGTCTGAAAAACTTACACTAAGCAAAGAACCGAACTTTATATTAAAGTTTCCGAGTTCCAAGATAGAGGGCTTGCGATATCAATTCCAGTATTAGTATGACATTTACATGGTATTTAACTTTAAAAGAATTCTCTCATATTTTCAAAAAACAACTTTGTGGGAAATTCAACAGGGTAATTTCACTAGATTTTAGATTGTAGAGAAGTAAAAAAACATCCTACTTTTTTAACTTTAATTTTAAACCAGAGATTCTTCTTTTATTTAAACTTGTTTCATTCATTTCTTTCGTTTAACAATGGTTTAGTTTTTTAAATTTAATTTTCGAATGGTTCTTCTTAACCCATATCAATGGACACCAGAGCAACAATAGTAGGTTTAACACATCTAGCTCCGTTTTGGGTATAATAATGGGATCAATGTTAAACTGGATACAATTAATCACTCGTATAGCCACCCTCATTGTATTTAAAATAAATTTTGATATTTAAAAGAAACTCCTAATTTAAAAATGAAAGTAACTAAAGTACAAATTCTTAAATTAGTACCAGATCGTAACCCCAAAATACAAGTCATGAAACAGATTTGGTAAGACCGCTTTCCTCATTAAAAATAGAAGTCATGAAACAGATTTGGTAAGACCCCTTTCCTCAGTCATTCTCTTTTTTTAAAACAAAATTTTTAATATTTCTTTATAAACTTTATTAATTAACCAATTATATGTTCAAAACTATAAACATTTAGAAACAGCTATCAATGCTGGCCAAATTACCGTTGCAATATTTCCAGGTGGACCAGGCAGTCCAACCTTGTTGGCTCAAAATCTTGCGGGCACAGGTCACAGAAGCACTGATGTTATCCGACAACAAAGCATCACAGCTTACTTTACATTCGTTGTAGGAGAAACGTCCGTTGGAAGGTTGACACCAGTAGTAGTTGTTGATTTGGAAAATACCATAATCATTGGAACCATTAGAGTTGGTAGGACCAACGACACCGGTGCGGTAGGAAGATTCATGCTCAGCTATGCAAGTCCAACGAGCCAATTGATCCTTAGGAACACCCAAATTGTACATGGCTTTAGCCAAAGAACAACGATTGTAGGTGGTAGCCAAGGCAGGAGCAGCCAAAGCTAGAGCGGCCAAAACAACGATAAGGAATTTCATTTTGATGGTACAAAGTTAACGTAAAGTAAACTGTGATGATAATGCAGTAGAATTGGCAAAATTTATACAAAATTTTCTTAACTGATAACATTATTTAAGTTTTGTTTAATCATTGATATTTGCGGTGCTTTTCATAAAGTGCAATATGCCAAGTGGAACGTACTCGATTTGGAGTACTTGTATTATATGCAAATGTGGCATTAGCCATTATTGTACTTTTTGTAGTAAGTTGATATTCATGTAAAAATATAGGAAACATCTTTTTCTGTTAGAATAATACAAGATTTGGATCCATGACATCTAGGGCCTGCAGAAAATTGATTTCAACAAATATACATACAGACGGAGAGTATTATGCAATTGAACTGATATATAGGGACCGACTCATAACCATTATTTATCATGTAAACCTTGTAATGGAGGTACAAATTTTAATTTGACAAGATGATTTGAGGAAGAACGATCTCTAATGTTGAAATCGGTTTATTATTTCACCTTTTAAACCCTCTTCTATTTCATAACTATGTCATATCTAAAAAAATATTTAATTTTGTTATAAATCGCATTTAAATAAATTTCAATTATCTATTCAAATTATATTTATCTATTAAAATTTTAAATATATTTAATACGTAATACACTCATACTACTAGTTAAGAGTGTTCCACTTAGACAAAACACCTTCGTTCTAAAGTACCCACTAGGGATTTGACTAATTCAAAATATTGTTATCAGTTTCAAAAATCTACTATAAGTTGTGACAATTCTACTTCATTATCATAACAGTTTACCTTACGTTAACTTTGTACCATCAAAATGAAATTCCTTATCGTTCTTTTGGCTGCTCTAGCTTTGGCTGCTCCCGCCTTGGCTACCACCTACA